GCTCACACCTTTAATCCCAGCACTAGGGAGGTGGAGACAGGAAGGGATATGACTGGGCAGAAAGAGGAATATAAGGCGGGAGGAGGCAGGAGCTTAAGGCATTTATTCAGTCTGAGGATTCGTGGGGACAGGATCTTGCCCACTTTGGTCTGAGAATTCAGTAGTGGTAAAAGGTCTCTCTAATGGCTGCCTTCTTTACCTCTCTGTTCTCTGCTCTTTCGGCATTTACCCTGATAACTGACTCTGGGTTTTTTATTATTAAGACCAAATAGAATTTGTGCCACACACTACCAGGGATTGAACTCAGGACCTTACCCACGCTGGTTGGTTTTTGTAAACTTGACAAGAAGCCAGACATACCTAGAGGGGACCTGAACTGAGGAGCTGCCTCCATCAGATTGGCCTGTAGGCATGTCTCTGGGGGCGTTTTCTTGATTGCTGATTGATGTAAGGGCCCAGAGCATTGTGGGTGTTGCCACCCCTAGATAAATAGGCCTGGACTATATGGAAAGCAGGCTGAGAAGGCCAGGGGAAGAAAGTTGGTAAGCAGCGTCCAGACTCTCTGCTTCAGCTTCCGGCTTTCCTCTATGGTGGACTATAATCTGTAAGCCAAATAAGCCCTTGCCTCTCCATGTTGCTGTAGGTCATGGTGTTTATAAGAGCAACAGAAAAGGCTACTTAGGACGCTGGACAAGTGCTCTACTCCTGAGCTGTGGACCCCAGCAGTTAAAGACACAATTAAAAAAATATATGTGGTCTGCATTTGTTTGAATCAACACACGGAGAAGCCACTCACACGGAAGGCTGGCTGTAGCACAGAATACCACTTAAGAACTAGTCAACCTTACAGCCTTTAAGCAGGAGCCGTACACTCCTGCTCCTCCTCTCTAAACCTCCATAAACAGCCCCCCTTCCATGATATACACCCCAGGACATCAATCATGGTGACGTTCCCGGATGAAAACACGGTCCACCTCCCCCTCCCTTCACTCTTCCTTCGCCAGTGTTCAGCCTGGAACATTCTGTTCTGTCCCATCTCACAGCGAATTCTGCTCTCCCCTGCCAGAACCACCACCTTTGAACCCAAGGACCCGATGATCTGGGCAGTGAAGAAGGAACAACCCAGGTCCAGAAGGAATTCCGGAACAAACCTTTGTTGCCTTGGCACATGGGAATGGGCTAGCACATGGGCATGCAGCATGCTCTTTAGAACATGTTGCCTGGCACTGGGCAGCCTCGACCTGAGAGAAGCGGCCCCTCACCGCATCCCGCCTACCTCCTTCAAGTGCTGTGGAATCGATGTCCCAGAATGGAAGGTGTGCTTGGCCTTCTTATATATGAACCACAGCAAGACAAAGCAGCCGAGGAGGAAGAGGAAGGCCACGAAGACGGAGGTCACCAGGATGATGGCCACCATCCAGGAAGGGGTCGTTTCTGTTGGGGACAGTGGAGAAGGTTAGACTCTTGGCACACACACAGGGTGAGTCACAGGGATCATGTACCCATTCCAAGCACTGTGGTCAAAACAGGCCCATCTGGCTGGGCGGTGGTGGTGCACGCCTTTAATCCCAGCACTCAGGAGGCAGAGGCAGGTGGATCTCTGTGAATTTGAGACCAGCCTGGTCTACAGAGCAAGTTCCAGGACAGCCAATACTACATAGAGAAACCCAAGAAACCCAGAAAAACAAAACCAAACCAGGTCCAGCTGGTCACAATGGCCCAGAAACATGGCAGCTGGCTGCAGGGTCTTGGTGTTTACAATGAGTTTCACCTCTTTCCCCAACCCTCTTTATAGCGTGGCACACAGAAGAACAAGAAGGAAGGATCCTGGTCTACTTTCCTATTTGTAACTATGCTGGATATTCTGCTCTGACACCGCACATGGGCCCCCAGGGGGGCACAGGCCCTGTGCTCGGTACTGAGAGCAGAAAACAGCTCCCCAAGAGGAGCACACACAAACCCAAGTGACCATCACCTTGTCCCTGGGACCGTTCATTCTTCCTGGAGTTCCTGACCAGCACCAGCACAGCGTGCGTGGGCTGTGGTCAGCAGTGGCCACACGCCTCTGATTGCTTGCAGTGAGCTTTTCTAGCAAGGCCTTCCCTGCTGAGACCTCCTCTGCCTATCTGGACCATACTCAGGGTGCTGTGACCCAGATAACCACTTCTGTGATGCCAACAGGAAGCGTGTCTCTACAGGAGATCAGTAGGTTTTGATAAATACCAGTGGGCAGACCCAGCTGGTGAGTGGTGATGGCACTGAACTCAGCTGGTATGTTTTGACTGCTCTGCTTGGCACCTCCCTCTCCACTTTCTCCCTTTTGGACGCCTCTCCGCACAGGTGGAGCTTGGCAGTCACTGAATCAGTGCGTCTGCTTCAGTCAATCCTGCTGGGTTATGTGGCAGCATCCAGGAGGTCACCCTGGTCAGCTGTGGTCCCAACTTCCGGCCCTCACACCAGTCCCTTCTCCAGTTGGCCTCTCTCTACCCAACCCTTGCCAGCCAGCATCACCTTCATGAGCAAGGACATGCGCATCTGGTACCTAGGGCGACTGAGAGAACACCCGATAGGGACTGTCTGTGTGGAGAATACCAACTGTCACCTTCATACAAAAGACCAGAGAGTCCTGACCAGGATGGTGGTCCCAGTATCCCATTGACTGTAGGCATCTGCTGGTATTTGAGCAAACTTGTCATGGTGCCTGGCTCTTTAAATGTCTATGGATAAATACACGGATGGATATATGGATGGACAGACAGAAGGACGGATGGATGGAGACAGACAGATGGGCGGATGGAGTATTTCTATGGGTGAGAGACTGGGAAGAAACCGTCACATCTTCAGTCTCCCTCCTTCACTCTCTGGTCTAGCGTCCACACGCACCAAACTCCTGACTGTCCCACCTTACACCTTGCCAGATTGGAAGAACTACATCCCAGTCCCAGGGTCTTGTTTCACGCTGAACAGCCCTTTGCCTCATTGGCCATGTTTTTTTCCCAATAAATGGAGGGTCCAGTGAGCTGGCTGGAGTGGTTCCTAGGAGGGATCTGGCAATATGAGGTCATCCTATCTCAGAAACTTTCCTGAGAAAGTTTCAGGCTTTCCTTATCATCCATGCAAGCTTCCACCCCAGTGTGGTAGGGTGCGCCAGTGTTCCAGGCTCTCTCAGGTGGGGCAGTGGATGATAACAGCTAGTTTCCTGGTATTTTAGATAAGGCCACACCTGGCTGACAGTGACATTTGTGTTATTTCTCAGGAAGAGTGCAGAGGTTGAGGTGGGAGGGTGCCTTCGAAAGGGTGTGAACTGCAGGGTAACCCACCTCTCCACGAGCTCCGCTGGTTCTTTCCCTGCCTGCAGACATATTTGACTGTATTATCAGCAGATCGTGTTTCTTGGTTTTACTTTAAGGATTGGGTGCCTCAGTTTACCTTTGGAATTAGTCTGTAGGCAAAGAGGTAAAGAGAACACAACAGGGCTGTGTTTACACAGGGCCTTTGCTCAGTTCTCTTTGTCCTTCGCTAGCTGAGAGTGACTTTGGGCATTTCTCCTTTAAAAAAAAGTTTGGATCGTGTCAGGAGACAACCTTATTCTGTGGCCTCAGTCGGCCTGCAGCTCACTGCACAGTCCAACAAGGCCTCATGGTGGCTCTTAGGTCTCAACTATGGGAATTACAGCCTTGAGCCCCGCACCAGGCTTGAAGTATTATTTTTAGATCAAAGTGTGTCTCTTACATCAGATTTCATGACACCAGCAGCTCTACAGGTGTCTGCCTCTCATGCTCCCAGATTACTGCATCTTGACAGTTCTTTGGCCGCTACAGACGTTGGGCAATTCTCATCTGACGACAGGCACAGTGAATCTGTGCACAGGCAGCGCCCAGACTAAGCCGCACGTCTTCTCTCTCTCCTCTTGGATCAACTCTCTCCTCCCCGCTCCTCTCCTCTCCTTTTCTCCCTCTCTCTTGCCCAGCACATATGTGTGTGTGTTGGGGAAAGTTTGTGCTGGGGTAGAATCCAGGCCATACATGCTAGATAAGACCTTTATCATGGAACCACCCCCTGACGATTGTTCTGTTAATACACAGTGTGGAGAGTGCCCTGCTGGATGCCACTGTGCCCTGGCTCCATATTTTACAAGGGGCCTTAAGACATGGTGCTAGCTGAGATGCTGATATGTGCCCCAGGTCCCCAAAGTCAGAGATGCGGGGAAGGATAGACAAGCTGTGTCAGGGCTCAGTCTGCTGGGTGACTATATGTGCAGGGCTCAGTCTGCTGGGTGTCTGAATGAGCAGGGCTCAGTCTGCTGTGTGACTGTATGAGGACCAGTTAACCTATTTCAGAGAGCGGACAGGGAAATGGAATGCAGTGAAGGACATTCATTGAGGCAGACCTCAGCCCAGCAGGCTGGCAAGGGACAGCCAGTTTCCTCAGAATGGGGCATCTCATTTATAGCATGAAGCAGAGCCATCAGGGTCTGGGGACCATGCAGATGATGGGGAGGCTGATCTCTGACCTGCAGTGGTATGTGAGCTGACTGTCACGGTGTGGACTCATGGGTGGTGTCCATGTGCCTCTGAGGAGGCAGTTATAGGCTGTGCATGTCCGCACTCACCATCGTTGGTTGTCCGCTCACAGATAGGTTTGCTCCACTCTCCCGTTCTGTTTTGATCAAGAAGAAATCCTTGAACTTGAATGCAGTAAGTTGTCCATGGCTCCAGGCCTCTGAGGACCTCAGAGTCGTATCGAGAAATGACTTGGAACTATAAGGGAGACACACACAGTGTGAACGGACACCATCTCTTTCTTATCTCCCTCTCCCAGCCCTATAAACTGTGCTTCAGAAGGAGCCACCGGCTGGAACTCCTTCCAGCTCCCGATACATGTGACATCCTAAAGAATGTGACAAGACCAACTGTAAGGCCAGAAAACCTTTATCTCATTGCCTCAGTTCTGTAACATATGTGGCATCTAAACCATCACACTTCCTTAAAAAAAAATACTTGTAGCCAGTTAAGGCAACAAGGTTCCTTTCCTCATGGGGGCCCAGTGTGCAGGGCCTGCAAGTAGCCCTTGGGAGCATGCGCAGCCTGCTGCTTGTATGCATTGCTCTAAGGGCCCCTGGAGACAGAATTTCCTGTAGATCTTCATACCCTGCTATCTTGTCATGGTATCCCTACTCCAGGCTCTAGACAGGTCTGTGAGGAGCCTTGGGGATGCCCCAGTGCGCACTGGCTGGGATCTGCACTGGCCAGGCCTTTACTACACCACCACCACCACCACCACCACCACCACCACCACCACCACCACCAGCAGCAGCAGCAGCAGCAGCAGCAGCAGCAGCAGCAGCAGCAGCAGCAGCAGCAGCAGACACGTGGCTGCAGGGCCAAGTTCGAGTTCCACATCTCAAGTGGGGCTTTGCCGAGTTGAAGGTAGATAAATTGCAGAGAAGCAGCTCATCCTGATAGCTATGGGTTAACTATTCCCCAACCGTGGTCAACTGGACAATTGGTGAGCCATGCCCTCATGAGGGTTTCTATGGTGCTGTTCACTAACTAATATGTTCAGTGAATATATACATATATATATATATATATATATATATATATGTTGAACTGCATACATAAAATTTCATGTATTTGTACCTGTAAATGTGACCTTATTTGGATGTAGCTCCTTTAAAATGTAAACTTATTGCTGGGCATGGTGGTGCATACTTTTAATCCCAACACACATCACACACACACACATACACACTCTAAAATAAACCTTTAAAAATGATATTTTTCAAACGATAGAAATTAGGGCAGGTCATATAGGCAGGCATCCAGGGAGAAAGCCATGTACTGAAACAACCAAGACCTGAAGATGCTCCCTGAAGCCAAAGAGAGCCAAACAATTGCCAGCAAGCCTGCAAGAGCTGGGGGAGAGGGAGGGGGAGAATCCCACATCTTCAAGAGAGAGGCCCTGAAGACATGCTGATCTTCAACTCTGAGGCTCCAGAAATGTTACACAATAACATTATAATAAGTTAATATAATAAGTTAGTTGAAGCTACTAACTTAGCTAGCTAACAGGAGTCATGTACGGTGAGACTCGGGGTGCTCCACCCTGCCCCCGGGTTCACAGCAGATTTGTGATCCTTGGTGTGGACTCCCGTTGTACGGGGCCTGGGTGGCCTCCGACACCCAGGTCTTTGTTCTCTTCAGAATACTCCTGCTTCCGTTTCTGGTGGCTGCAGTCCTGGACTAATGCCATTTGAATTCAAATACAAGAACATCATTATTAATGATAAGCTTCTGTGTTTGAGAAACCAAGAGTTCCTCAGCAAAAAAGAGGGGACATCAAAGAGCACACTAAGGGGACACAGACTCTTCTTGTTCTTCATGATTGGTTCCTTTCCCCGTGGGGGAGGAGCTGTTGCCAGCTTGTCAGTATTGATGGCAGGAACCAGATTACAGCTGTGGAATCCAAGAAGAGACAGACACCGCCCCCAAATAAACAAAGCACCACCACCACCAACAATGAAAGACTTAAAAGAAAACATAACAAATGCTAGATTTTACTTCTAATAATTCAGTGCCTCTAATCCCTGTCATGCGATTTCTGAAGCGCAGGCACTGGGAAGTGAATGGTCCCTCTGAAATCTCCTTCGGGGCTTTCTCTTGCCTTTTATTTCGGGGTTATTCTGTTTTCATCCCTTTTTCTCCATCAAGACAATGGAACTTCTTTCCAAAAGCCCTTCACGCCCGCCCGCCTGTTAGTTTAGGGAACTGCCCCGCAGCATCGGAGGGAGGGTGGCACTTTAGGATGCTACACGGTGGTATGAGGCAGGAAGGAGGGAGCAGGTGAACCTTCTAGCATTGGTACAGCAAAGTGACACCAGAAGATGGACAGGCAACTACGCGCCAGCACTGTGGGCGTGTTCTAGATAAGCAAATATGAGGGGTTTGGTACGTCACGCTTGGTGAGGGAGGCACTCGGTCATGGCGACTACGGAACTGGGTCCTTCATTAGAAGACACCGGTGATCCCTGGAGAGTAGTGAATGGTCTCATCTCTGGATTGCTGGGCTTAGCAGAAATATTATACCAACGAATGATTATGAAACTAGATATTTTGTAGGCATGCACTTCCTGGAGTCTTGGCTGTGAGCAAAACCACCTCTTGCAAAGGCAGACGTCCTGTGGTTTAATGTATGTGTTTTATGATGCCACTTAAACACCATATTAAAAGGGAAGGCCAGGCTGTTGAGAGAGCTTAATGTGTAAAGGTGTCTGCCACCAAGCCGGATGACCTGAGTTCAACCTGGGACCTACATGGTGTAAGGAGAGAGCCAACTCCTATAAACTGTCTTCTGACTTCTCTGTGTGTGCGCACACACACACACACACACACACACACACACACGAAGAAAATTTAAATTAAACCTTTTAAAAAAGTTTTTATGTTGTGGTCTTCAGGAGGTGACCAGCAGGAGCCCTCGTGAATGCCATTAATGATCTTACAAAAGGGGCCAGGGAGCTGTCCACTGCTTTGACCTTCACCTAGGTCATCAAAGGTTGGCGTTATCTGGGGAACAGAGTGAGCTGGTCTTCAGGAGACTCGGGCCTGCCACTGTGTCCTGATCTTGGACTCCTCTGATTTAGAATCTTCATTTATAAACTGCCCACTTTCTTATAGCGTGGGAGCAGACTACAGCACAGCTCCAGTCTGGGAAAGATGTTTTTTTGGGTGAAAAACTTAACTTGAGATTTGTGTTTGGCTCTTCAGTGTGTGTGTGTGTGTGTGTGTGTGTGTGTGTGTGTGTGTGTGTGTGTGAATTTAATTATATCATCCTAAGACTCTCAGGCTCTTAGGAAGAAGCAGATGAACATTTATTGGAATTCGTTTGCACAGCACATATGTCAGTCCAGGACCACAAACGGTATTATCGCAGAAGCACTGTCTGACTAATAATGAATAAACATGTCTGCAAAAAGAGAAGAGAGACTCCTACTTTAGCAGATAATGGGAAACATTTGGCCTTTGTCAGCAAACCCCATAACCGTTCTACGAACTGGGCTTTTCTTCCTGTTTTGGGAGTGAAGTTGGTTGTTGTGCCCATTTTTAGAGCTGAGGAAGCTGGGGTCATGTGACCAGCAACACAGTGACAGAAGCAATATTCCAACCAGACTTTGGGGCTTCATTTGAAAAGAACTGTCCTCCAAGCTGTGAAGTGACCCAGCCATGAAGGCCTGATCTGGGATCTCTGGGACTGCAGCATGCCCCATAGCTAAAGAAACACATTTCTTTGGAAAGAATGTGTCCTAAAGAGAGCAACGGACAGGGAAATACTGGATAGGAAGGGTTAAAAATGACACTGTGCTTAAACATGTCAGCAGTCGGGAGGTGTTCTTACCATAAAGTGACTGTGGTTTGTGGGGGACGGCAGGGGTGCAGCTGACGATGCCCTGTGTCTCCTGAAACTTCCTTTCAAGGAGAGGAAGTCTGCTGTGTGGCTCACCCTGAGAGTCTGCCCCATGTGTGTCCCTTGATGGACGGGAGTCCAGGAGCTTTTGGCTTGTAAAGGGCCAGGCTTTAGACTCCCTGGGCACCAGGTGCTGCCACTCTGCAAGACTCAGCTTGGTCATGTGTCTGTGTGCATGCACAGGCGAGTGTGTATGGGAGCCAGATTGGCATCAGGTGTCCACCTCTGTCTCTGCTCCCCTTGTTTTCGAGACAGGATCTCTCCCTGACTCTGGGGCTCACCCGCAGACTAAGCCAGCATGCCAGTGGTTACCCAGCATTCTCTGGAGCTCACCTGTGGACTAAGCCAGCAGGCCAGTGGGTACCCAGCATTCTCCTGTCCCCATCTCGCACTGTGATTACAGCTGGACACTGTATACCTGGCTTTTCACTTGGGTGTTGGGGAATCCAGATTCTGGTTGTCACATTTGCACAGCAAGCCCTTCCCCCACAGATACATCACCCCAGCCTCTGTGTGGCTTTTCCTGTTATCGTGGCCTACCGAACCGAGCAAAGCATGGGTACCTACATCTGAAACGCACTCGACAGCCAAGCTCACCTTCTCACTAGTCCCGTTTTTCCAGTATTGCACCCGATAAGCCCACGAGTTATACAAGTTCTTCATGGTCCACTTCTCAGGTTCATTTTCAATTTTGGGGGCTGAGAAACGCATGTGCAGAGAATCAGCAAGAGATTCTATATGCATCTCAGGAGGTCCAATGATGGCTAAGTATAAGAACACAATAAAATGACAATCAAAACCAAATCACATTTTAAACACTTCACTTGAACAGCAGTTTTATATGTGTGCAACAAGCTACTGGAGGATAACCCTGGTCTCTGCAGGCCACTGTTACAGCGCCGAGTGAGGTTGCTATGGGAGATGGACGGATTTTTTTCTTTTTTTGCCTATTTAAAAAGATTCGATAACCTTTGTCCTTATTAATCAAATTTAATCCATTCATGTCCACAGTGATATATTTAGGATTATTTCAACTATATTGTTGCATTGTTTGTAAAAATGGCTTTTTTTTTTTTTTTTTTTTTTTTTTTTTTTTTTTTTTTTTTTTTTGCGGAGTAGGGGCTGCCCCTGTCCCTAGCTCACGTTAGCTTAAACGTGTGCCCAAGCCTTCTCAGTTCTGCTGCTACGGGCAGGACCATCATTCTTACAGTGATACCTAATATATTTAGGATTGTCTCAACTATATTGTTTTGCATTGTTTGTAAAATGGCTTTTTTTTTTGCGGGGTGGGGGCTGCCCTTGTACATATCTCGTGTTACAACATGTACCTAAGCCTTCTCAGTTTTGTTGCTATAGACAGGACCACCATGCTTGACAAAAAGTCTAATTTAAAAATTTTAATTGTATCAGCTTCTTCTCTTTGTTTTCTTCCTTCTCCTGGCTTGAATTTTCTTCTGCTTTCTGGCCTTAAAGCTACAAATGAGATTTCTACTATTGTAGAGATTACTCATATTTATTATCTATCTATAAGTATATGTATTTGACAGCTTTTCTGTCACTATCTATGCGTGTGGCTAGGCTCGTCACCCCACCTGGATCGCCATTCAAGCTTCCCTCCTGGGGTGCAGGTATATTGCGGCGCTATGGGAAGAGAGGCGTCCCTT